CGAAGAGAAATCACACTGAGGCCAAAAGCAGTGCCTACTGGAGGTAGCAGAACGCACACACTGTTGCATAGCATTAGGTGTGACGAAGGGCCGACTGTCTTAGGGAGTGCGTCAATCGCGAACGACAAATTCGTAATATATAGACACGGAATACATCCACATCGAGGTAGTATAGCCGGTAATACTCGGTGAAAAGCCTTCATAATATTCGTTCAGACTAAGAATGCCGAAATAGATGAATGGTTCGGTATTCAGATTCAACAATTTCTGGTGAGGTTTCTTCCCACCGTGTTGTGTACTGCAGGCGAATGATGATGATCTCGATTGCTGACGGCGCTTCTGGTCACATTAGTTTGGTTTGTTCTGAGGGAGGTCAGCCTATCCGTGGAACATCCATCAGATTAAAACGATGGTCGCCATTCAGACCTCCAAATGCTCTGCCCCAAGCTGTGACAGGAGGACGTTTGTGTGTCTAACAGGGGTCCTAAAAAGGGATCGGGTTCAGAGCGCATTACGACTCTTCTACTCAGATTCGCAGAGAGAATCGTGTAAACATATGAACTGAAGGGTTCTAAGTAGAGGTCTTGACGTCAGGACCTATAACGGAACTTTCGTAGAAGTTTTGAAAACAATCAATGGATATGTTACTGTGCGATGCAGAATGAGACCAAGTGACTATGTTACTAGGTTGTAAGGTCTTCGGACAGAATGGGACCAGTCAGCAAATTCTTCATTCCAAGCAGGCCATATTAGGCCCAAGTGCTAGCTAAGAGCTTGGTTAAAGTTTCTTAAATTCTCTCATGCAATCACCGTCACGAGAAAATCTCAACTGGAGGTTATTGAACCTACTTACACGATGATTCTTTTGTGAGTAGTTCAGAAGAGAAATAATTCAGAAGACGCGTCTAGCTTCCACCTCAGATTTCATTAACCACTCAACTCGTAATCACGTGATATTAAGTCCACTCGTGGATGAAGCGCGCTACTGTATACTGTTTAGTCAGAGTTTATCATATCGCTGATAAGTCAATCTTAGCCCAAAGACTTAGCCTTCAACTACCACCCTCAGGGTTTCAAATTCGAATCAGCCTGAAGGCGAAGAGCGCACAGTTGATGGTTTCTAAAATGCGCGAAAACAGCCACACAGCTCACCCCGGAACTCGGCTTAAAGTGGCTTCACGTACTGGAATAAATCTCAGCCGTACAGTTTCCAATTCTTCTCAAAATAACTAACACGCCATCCACCTAAAAAACGTCTACATCTTGTAACAGTTGCACACCGGTGCATTGATCCCACTGACGATGAATGATGACAATACCCAGGAATAACTAGTTCAGCTTAAAGATACCCTGGTAGTCCCTAATTTGACCGTTCTGCTCAAATCGGGCCAAGGAATTGAGTATTGTCAAATCAACACAAATTCCTCTACTAAATTCAAGATGAGTATGCTTCTACAAGATGGGTTGGCCAACTGCACTACCGAGGATGAAATCCGAGCAAAAACACAAAAAGTGTCACATGAAAGGAGCTCAGAATTTAGGGGATATGTTTCCAAATGAGTGCCAGTAGAATCAGAGAGATTACCAAGTGTTCCAGCATGAATAGAAAGCAGGGCGTAGAGCCGGCCCGCTTATAAGGAGTGGTGATGAATCAGGCTGGTTGACTAGTGACGCTCTACGGTTGTCGATAAAACCGAATCTTTCACAGAATTAATAGAATAGCCTCAACCCGATTAAACTTTACCTAATACCTCTCCCACACCAAACCGACGGAATACTTGCTCATCCACACGGGTCGACAAAAGTGGTCATGGTGGCCAGACGATCTTATGTCGTGGAAACTGTGGCCAACCGGTGAGTTTGGTGCATATTTTGCAATCCTGCTGGATTACGCATGATGCCAGGTGTGCTCGTCATAATCGGGTTGCAAGGGAACTTGCAAAACGTCTCCGTCGACTGGGGTACACCGTCTTCGAGGAGTTGAGA